ACAAGAATTCTAAAATAGAATGTATCGCTCAGAACAGCGAAAAGTTTATAACCTTTGGTTTTAAAAATCTTTGTTTCAAGGACAGTTTCAGTTTCTTATCGTCTTCGTTGGATAAGTTGGTGAAGTTGAGTAAATATGAGGATGATAAAAAGCGTGAGAACTGGAAGAACAATTTCAGATACAGCGTTAGAAACCCGTATGTTAAAACCGATGAAGATTTGGATTTATTGACCGATAAGGGTATTTATCCCTATGACTACTTTGATGATTTTGAAAGATTTAAGGAAAGGGCTTTACCACCGAAAGAAGCGTTTTACAGTAAATTGAGTGAAGAACATGTAAGTGATAAAGATTATGAAAGGGCACTGAAAGTATGGAAGCACTTCGGGATTAGAACACTCGGGCAGTATCACGACTTGTATTTAAGAACTGATGTTTTACTACTGACCGATGTATTTGAAAACTTTAGAGACTTGTGTATGGAATACTACGGTTTAGACCCCGCTCATTATTATACGTTGCCAAATTTCGCATGGGACGCGATGCTTCTAAAAACTGGTGTTGAAATAGAACAATTGCATGACCAAGAAATGTTTGAGATGGTTGAAAAGGGAATGAGAGGTGGTATGTGTCAGGTAAGTCATAAATTAGCAGTGGCAAATAATAAGTACATGGGGGAAGCATATGATGAGAACAAGCCATCAAATTATATTAGTTACTTGGATGCGAATAACTTGTATGGCTTAGCAATGTCCCAGAAGTTACCGCTAAAAAGTATCAAGTGGGCAAAGAAAACGCCCAGTGTTGAAAAATGGAATGAAAGCGATGAGTTCGGTTATATTATGGAAGTTGATTTGGAATATCCCGAAACATTGCATGATTTCCACTCCGACTATCCACTAGCGCCTGAAATAATGAATGTAAATGTGAATATGCTTTCCGACTATCAAAAGCAAGTCTTCAAAATATATTATGACGGTAAAAGTCCCAAGGACGAGAAAACAAGTATGTTAATATTAAATCTAAAGGATAAAGAAAATATGTGGTTCATATCAAGACTTTACAGTATTATTTGAAAATGGGAATGAAAATGGGTAAAGTCCATAGGATAATAAAATTTCAACAGAGGGCATGGTTGAAACCGTGGATTGACTTCAACACTGGTAAAAGGAAAGAAGCCAAAAGCGATTTTGAGAAAGAACTCTATAAGCTGATGAATAATAGTGTATACGGTAAGACTATGGAAGACAAGCGAAACCATATGGACTTTGAACTGGTGGATAATGAAGTTAGATATGAGAAATGTGTGAATAATCCAACATTCAAAAACAGATTTATTATAAATGAAAATCTGGTAGGAGTTGAAAAAACTAAAGCAAAACTGAAACTGGATAAACCAATCTTTTTAGGAATGACTATTTTAGATTTAAGTAAATTACATATGTATCAGTTTTACTATGATGTATTGAAAAAGAAGTATAATGAAAACATAAAACTGGTTTATACCGATACTGACAGTTATGTAATTCAAACAATGACTGATGATGTCTATAAGGATTTCAATGATATAAAGCAACACATGGATTTTAGCGACTATCCACCTGAGCATCCATGCTTTGACAAAACTAATAAAAAGGTCTTAGGAATGTTTAAGGACGAATGCTCTTCAAAGATAATTACAAAGTTTATAGCACTCAAACCAAAGTCATACGCTTTCACAATTCACGGTGAGGATGATGAGCATAAGAAATCAAAAGGTGTAGTAAAACACAAGGTGAAAAAAGAACTGTCATATCAGAACTATCACGAAGCATTATTTCAAAACAAAAAGCATGAAATAACATATAATTTTATTCGTAGTCGCAACCATCAGTTATTCTCAATGTCTCAAGTTAAGCAATCTCTGAGTAATGTTGAAAATAAAAGATATTACTTAGATGCCTTTACTTCATTACCATATGGGCATTATTCCATAAAATAATTATCTAAATAGTTCTAATAATATGAAATTATTAGAATTATTTTCAGGGATAGGCTCGGTTGGTCGGGTTGCTCGGGAAAATTAGGAATGGGAAGCATTTAGAAACAGCACAGCGACTACCTAAAGGCAACAGTCACAGAGGTGAAGGTCAGCATGTCTTCCCAACCTCGGCGTGGGGTCAAATGCGGAGATTACCAAAAGGAGAAACGGTGGGTAAACTCCCCAATTAAGGGGGGCGAACTCCCCAATTAAGGGGGGCGAACTCCCCAATTAAGGGGGGCGAACTCCCCAATCGAGGGGGGCGAACTCCCCAATTGAGGGGGGCGAACTCCCCAATTGAGGGGGGCGAACTCCCCAATTGAGGGGGCCGGACTCCCCAATTAAGGGGGGCGGACTCCCCAATTAAGGGGAGAATGGCTCAAGTAACAAGGTCTGGCTCACACAACACAGTCAGGCTCACACAACACAGTCAGGCTCACACAGCAAGGTTTGGCTCACACAGTAAGGTTTGGCTCACACAGTAAGGTCTGGCTCACACAGCAAGGTCTGGCTCACACAGACATTTAAATTAAACCTGAAACCCAGACCAGCCGGCCAGCAACCCCCTAGCCAAAACTACTTAAAGAAATGTTACCTTATATATTAAGAGAAAAATGAACGGTGATGGAATCAATAATTATATCAATAAAAAATGCTATGATTGTTGTCACTTCAAAAAAGAAAATATGGAATTGTATAAATTGAGTTTACCTAATGAAATAGTGAATAATATTATTAATTATTCAATGGATGGTGAAGAAGACATATGTAAAAATTGTAAAACATGGAGAGATAATCAATTTTTAGTCAAATGTCTGTTGGGAATACAAAGAATACATAATAGAAATGTAGAAGATGATATTTTAATATTTCTAACTATAAATAAAATACCACCTTACGATTGTGTTAAACAGTTTCTTAAAATCAGTAAGAAAAATATGAAATGATTGATGATATATTATGGATGTTGGGTTATAGTCAAGAGAAAGGAGAAGATGTTAAAGAAAATATCAAATTATTTATTGAAAGTAAAAAGTTTAATGTTCAGAATACAGTGAGAGATGTTAATATTATTTTTAAAATGATGTATGAAAGAAGTAAGACAAACCAATTAGATTATTATCCTGAACTGAAATTATAATCATAATATAATTATAACATGTAAAATCTTATATGTTATAATTATACTGAACTTTTAACCTATAACACCCCTTAAACTTATCTAAAAAAATAACCCCTTAAACATATAGAGACCAATGACAGACAAAAAGCAATGTTCCAAATGTAAAGTCTTTCAATTGTTAGAAAAGTTCAACGAAGGAAGAAAACAATGTAATGTATGCTTGGAAAATAAACTACGGTATAGAGAAGCACACAAAGAACAAATACAGCAGAAGTCAAAGGAGTATTACGAAAACAACAAAGAACAAATAGCAGATAAGAATAAGACATATAGAGAGAATAACAAAGACGCTATACTAGAAAAGAAAAAGAATTATCGTGAAAACCATAAAGACGAAATAAAACAAAAAGCAAAAGACTATAGAGAGAAGAACAAAGAAGACATAAATGAAAAACAGAAAGACTATAACCAATTGAAAGTAGAATGTCCTTTATGTAAATGCTTTGTAGGAAAATACAGAATGAAAAAACACCAACAAACAAGTAAGCACCAACTAAGAGTGAAAGGTCAAGAAAACAATAACGATACTGTGAGAGAATACATAGAAACAACAAGTGACTTTGAACAAGAATAGGAATAAACAAATGAACCACCAACACCCCAGAACATAATAACTACTAAAAGGGCTAACTCTTTCAAATGAACAAAACGTTACTCCCCAGAAAATCCACCCCTAATACCCTACAACAAAATATAGGATGAAATCAAACAAGGGTGTTAAAACATTGGATAACAACATTTGACCCAATAACCCCAACAATCCTCCCTCTTCCCCCCAGGCCCCCTACTTTCTCCATTTTTTTTGGGGGGGGCAAACCTCAAGGTCCTGGCGAAGCGAACATGTTTAAACGCCGGCCAAACCCGACTCCTGCAGTCAAGCAGGCTTCCACTTTGTAGTCCAAGTACTTTTTCCGAAAGAAAAAATGGCGGAGCTTTGTGACCAAACGTATGTTTGCGCACGTTGAAGCGTTAAAACCAGTTTGAACCCAGCTTGCTCACAATAACACGTGTGAACAATTTTTGGTGGCTTCCAGTGAAAGACCCCCCGGTTCATTCCCGAAACCCTCCTCCTGAAATGTATGGAAGCGAAACTCCCGCATTTTCCATCTATGCTGGCTATACCTATGCTGGAAAGCCAGCTAGTTTAATGCTTTCTTTAAGCCAATTGCCAAATTGAGGATAAATTTAAGCTGACGTGCAACAAACGCAGAACAAGCAGACAGTAAGGCAAAACTAGGGCAAACTTATGCCTGAATGAGGGTCAAATGAAACAAATGAAGCCAGGTGGAATTCAGCTCATGTTGCGATTTGGCTAACCTCCCAGAACGGCTGACGCAGGTCTAAGTTTCAACTTTACTTGGCCCAGTATCTGATTCTGTTTCACTAAGATATGAACAGTTTTGGCGCAGACCCCACTATACAAGTGGCAAGTTTGTCATGGTTGCTTGCTCGGTTGGTGAGTTTGCGTCAGCCGGGCTCAGCTTGGTGACCATTTATTCTTCCAGTCGGGGTTGGGCCACGCGCACGCGGCCGCCCCACAGACTCACACAGAAACAAAGATGACATAGACACAGACCCGACACTCGCACACACAGACACACACACACAAACGCACACAACAAAAAAACACAAAAACAAAAACAACAAGCACACAAAACAAACACCTGCTGATAGATGAGCAGAGCCAACATCAAACCCGTGCAGTTCATTCTCCACCAGACTATGCTCCACTCACACGGAAGGCACACGTACCGGGCCTACGACCCCGAAACAAACCGAGCAGCCCGCATAGCACCTTCAATTTTCAAGGTTTCCCTGGGCTGCGATTTCCAGTGCGTAGCAACTGGTCGTGGCGCTCGCCTCCCGCAAATCTGCATGCTGCAGGTACTTGGCCAAGTTGGCGCGATACATCACCTCCACCTCACGGGATTGGATCGTGGAGCTGGACCCTGCTGGGTCCCCAACGGAAGTTTGACTGGCAAGCCACAATCCTCCATCTCAAAAACCACAGCACAAGAAGTTAGGACAACTAGCATTGCGATGGTGAAACAAACAAACACGCTCATCAAACAGCTCCAAGTCCAAGAGGTCCGGATGAAACGAAGGCGAACCCTGACCCAGCCTTCACGGCGTCCCAATCTTTGCGAAAAGCCTTGTGGCGCTGCCCTTCCGACCACACACGCATCCCATGGGACGAGTCCTTTTCCTCGGTGCGGGAAACCCCGCACATGTGGGTGCACACTGCAAGTAGAAGTTCCAAGCGAATCCATCAAAAGGAAAACCGCAATCATGATCAAACCTTGCAATGTTCGTCGCCATCTTGCCCAAGCGTCTGTGGCAGTCTTCTTGATGGCTCGCACCTTCTCCTCAGCCGGCTGAAAACCTCTCAACAAATATGTTAAACAAAAACACATGTCCTGCCTTCTTTGTTTTGTCCTACCCCTTAAACTTCTTAACATGGCTTCTGGCTGAACGAAACATTTGGGTGTTTTTCTTCGCACCTTTTCCGCCGCGATATAAACATTGAAGTTGCTACTTATCCCACTGGCTTCCAGTGCCTGGATGGCGACGTCCGGGAACTTCATGGCCTGGTAGCACTGCTCCACCGACTCCCACTCCCGGCCGTCAAACATGAAGGGTTTAACCTGCCCGGCCGCCGTCGCAGTTGCATTCCGGCTAGAATGTTGCAACAACGGCTTCAAGAACTAAAGCAAACATAAACATGAAATCAACAGAACGACAACAGCAAGAACTAGGAGAGCAACACAAACAGCAACACTGATAATGATCCTCCGAAAAGTGCAGCACTAGCTAACTAAATTCTGCCCCCGTTACGCATCCATTGGCAATACACTGGTCGAGCTCATACGGATATTGCCAAGCACAACTGTAAAGCTCAACGAAAATGCACTCACGAGAAGAACAAACACGACGGACAAACGGTAGGCCTGTTAAGGAACGGGGCTCGGATTCTTTTAGCCGCCGCGCCTGAAAGTTGTCCGTGCATTTGGGCGCCTGGGTATGCGGTTCTCCTGGCCGCGCGATGCGGCAGGGGCCACCCATGGCTTTGGCCGAACGCGTGCGTTCTGCGCCGAGCAAAGTCCCGAGAAAATGCGTTTGTTGACTTCGACCTTGGTCTCGGCAGACATGTCCCCTGCAATTGGAAGAAGGCGCCTTGTTAGTTTCGCGGGTGTTCCTTCCCGACTTGCACCACTGCTTAGTGTGTGCGGCAGGATTGGATTTTCCTCACCTGGCCTTTCAGAGCGGCAACTTGAACCAGTTGGCACCCCACGGCATCCGCCAACCATTATCTAAATTTTTTGCACCTTGAGCCCTGGCGCGGCAGTTAACCCAGCTAATTACCACGATCAGTGAACCTTCACCACCTGTTTTAGGAGATGTTGGGAGATCCAGGTTAGGCAACCATTTTGGCCCAAGTGGCCAAACCCATCGCGTTCCATTGCGCCCAGCGCGGCGGTGAGCTGCGGATTCCCGTGGCCTTCTGGCTGGGTGGGTGGCGTTGTGCCGGTTTCACACTCTCCCGCGCCAGTGCGCGTATCGCCCCGGCAGTTTTCTGGCCAGGCCTTGCACACCCAGCCTTGCAGGCCACGCAGGCCGTGCTTTTGCCAGGCGAGATCCTATTCATGTTCTTGGATGACGTCTTTTTTGTGTTTTTTTGGCACGCCTTTTTCCATCGCCTGGTTCTTCCCCCCTCCAGGAAAAACCTTTAGGGGATGCCCCCGGCACAAGGGGTCTTGGCGGCTCTTTTTTTGGAGGCCAGCTCCTTACATGCACGAAGCTGCTCGTTTCGTGCCAACTACCTGCTGCGCATCTTGCGCATCTTGCCCCCCCTGAGCACAGAAAAGCCCCTCGAGCTTGGCGATGCAGGATAAGGGCTTTGCCTGGCAGCGGCCTTGTGCGCCACAACATGTTGCCCTGACTCGTTTGATGCTTGCCGGCGGTTCAGTCTTGGCTTTAGTTTTCTGGAGAGCCCACACACCCTGAACACACAAGGGGCACATCTTATAACCAGCCCGCGCATAGACCTCCTGTTTTCCCGAGAGCCAGGGGCACAAACCATCAGGCGCACGGGTAGGTCAGGAGGCACAACAGCAGGTTTGCGCGAAGAAACGGTTGTTCCCAGATCCTCACCCTGGCGGGGCAGTCACGACTGGCGTGTCCGCATGGATTGTTTTGTTCCTTCTCACGCAGGATCTCTCGACCCAACAGCTTTGTTTTGCAGGCCTAGTGTTCTCGTATTCGTACGTTTTTCTTGATAGCGTCTTTGGCTCCAGTTGTTCGGTGTTGACCGGGCGGCGGGCGTCCTCGAGGCAAGCTGTTGCGGGGACGTGCGCCAAACAGTTTCGATTTGCCAGAATTAGCTGCGTGCGCTTGTGCGGAGATAAGACACGAAGAATTTAGTGAAAGAAATTGAATTGAAGCGTTTCCAGGAGGTGAGGTTCCTCAGCAGTTCCTTTTAATTTTGAAGAAATGGATGCAAGGGACACAGTTTCAGCGATGCAGTCCATACCCACTGTGGTAGCAGCCCAGTGGTCCTGGAGTTGTTTCAAGATGAGAACCTGATCCCTGATGGTTCAGTGTGTCGTGGAAGCCTCTAGCGGAAATACTCTGCTGTTGCATCCTGGAAGCGGAGCAAGCTTTCCTCGTGATGGCGTGAATGCAAGAGGGGCCTTGACACAAAACTGTTGCGGTGAGAATGTACGATTGCATGACGCTCACTTGGTTCAGAAACAGAACGCAGGGGGGTTTTGATTATGAGCCAGTGTTCACTTTCTTCAATGTTTTGAGGAAGCTGGTCTACTTGCACTGTGTTTTCATTGCTCGGCGCTGGGGTTTTTGTTGTGTTTGTGATCCGTTCATTCAGTCCCTCGGACTTCGTATTTTGAGATCCTTCGTTGGTTCGAAGTCAGGTTGTGGGCTAGCCATGAGGATGCCGGGGGTGGCAAGCTGTTGTGCCCAGACATGCAGACGAAGCAGAAGGCAGCCTTTGGTTTTTCAAGACAAACAAGAAGCTAGTCGTTGACGACGCAATTTCTCCAGAACGGATGTGTGTCCTTCAAGTGCGAAACTTGGAGATTGCCGGCGCCAGTGGGTCGCTGGATGTGCCTAGCGCTCTTCAAGAACTTCGTCAAGAGGATCAGATGGATCGCAGTAGTTTGAAGGCTAAGATGTCTCTTGACTCCTGCAAAGCAAGTTTGTCTCGCAATGCTGTCGCTGATGTGATCCCGGCTGGTGCTTTGACTAGGGCCAAGAAGCGAACAGCAGCGCCAACTTATGATGACAACAAGAAACCAACGCATCGGGCAATGCGGAAGAGGCGCCGGACTCTAGAAGCTCGAATAATTTTGAGGTGACCTTGGTGACCTGCAGGCAGCAGCCAGGTGTTCACAACAAGCGACGGGCGTGCGAAGTACCTTTTTTTTCCGCACGCCTTTTTCCCTCGCCTGGTTCTGCCCCCTCCAGGAAAAACCCTTTGAAGGGGTGCCCCCGGCACAAGGGGTCCTGGCGGCTGAAGTACTTGTGCAAGCATGCTTTGTCCAGCTCTTCCTCCACGGCCAGCCCAAGCAGGATGCCCTTGGTGCTGCGCATGAGCTGCATTCTGGCTCTTCCCGCGCGACGCTCAAGGTGCAGTGCTTCCTGCGTGCCAAACGCTGCCTCTTCCAAAAACTTTCATGTGTGCCCCAGCCAGCCGACGTTCGTGCGCGGGCGTGGCTCCTGTGTGGCTTTGAAAACTTCCCTAACCGAAAGCAGTCCGCAGAACACATGAAGGCGGCCAAGCTCAGTCCGTTTGTTGGCAAGGGCTAAGGGCGCGAACGCAAAGAGTGTGGAGCATCTTGGAGCCATCAGCTTTGCCCTGTCTGTAAGCAAGGCGTAGAACGTTCAATTGGTAATTTGCAACCTGAACGCGCCTGGCGCCTGATGTTGCGGCAAGTGTGGAGAAACCGAGAGCACGTGGCTTGCAACTTGTGTCTTGTATCATATCATAACACAACAGTACCTGCATTTTTTACCATACGCCATGGGACCGTAGTATCATGAAGTATAATATGAATATCAGTGTCCTGGACCACCCTACCATAATATTTCATAGCTAGTGCCTTGCACAAAGCCGCGTTTTTACAAAGCTTGTTCGGCCTTTTTCTGGATAGCTCATCGCTTTTCGTAACCCACACTCATTGCTACTACCAAACTAGCCATTGCGATACTGAGCAAAGCTGGAATCTGTAACTAATCTGGCTGCCTGACACATACCTTGCGCGGGAACCATAACCCGCTTCAAGGACACGCGGACTGCGCGGCCTGGAAAGGCGTCCTTCCATGGGCCAGCGGCACTATGCTTGCGCTTTGTGGCAAGTTGTGCAGGATTTGCGTCTATGTCTTCAACCCCGCAGGCTTTTGTGCTGTGTGGCCCAAGCTGAAGCTATTGCAAGCATGTCCGCGAGGTTCCTGAGGATCACACTGCGCTTCGAAACGCCCAGGCGAAGCTCATTCAGATGGTCAAGGCCCGCACGTCGACGACGCGTAAGCCCCAGCAGTATTCCATGGAGCTGAAAGACTTTGAGGAGAAACACGGGCTGCGGAGGAGGCCTTGCAGGTCTCGAACGCCGTCCTGCAGCAGTTCCACTTGATCCACAAGGCTTGTGTTTGGTTGCGTGAAGTTGGCATGTTCTCTTTGTCGCCGCTGCCGGAACCTCCGGCTGGAATAGGATGTTGGAGATGATGCCGCCTTGGCGCCAACGGGATCCAATAAAACAAAAACACCAAGCCGTAAAGTTTGCAAGTTAAACGGCCGGGGGGTGGGTGGGGTGGTCTTTGGCAAATGCAGAACCAACAAAACAAGAATGTAAAACCAACCAGTGGGACTTGACCACACCACCATGAAAAAGGCTGCCAGCCAATCTACCGAGGTACTTGCAGCTGAGCCTCGTCTGAAGAGCCAGCCGTCATGATCACACTACTGGCAAGGACAATGAGGGCATCAGCATCAGACATGTTCTCGCTGCTACGTGTGCTGCTGTTGCGACGCCTGCGCTTACCTTTGCCTTTCGTCCCTGCGCGATGCCGGTGTGGAAGGGAGCAGGACACTCTTGGCGATCACCGCTCTGCATGTCCGCGAGCTGGTGTCTTGCGAGCACGGGGCAGACCACTTGAACGGGCGAGCGCGCATTTGTCGTGAAGCAGGGGCCGTGGTTGCTATGCACACTTTGGTCAGGGACCTCAATGTTGGCAGCGTGCCTGAAATGACCGGCGGATGTCCCCTGTCGTGCTCACAGCTTCCACAGTGCTTGGCAATTTGCGGCGGGCTCGGAAAGGAGCTGCTGCCGGCCCCACCGGTTACACTGCGGAGTTCTGCCGTCTGGCGTTGGATGACGAGGCGACTAGTTCCTCGTTTGTTCGTGCGGCCTCCGCCCTGGCTCAGGCGAGAGTCCCACCGTGCATCGCAGCGGCCTTTGGCCTGGGGCGCATGGTCGCCCTTCAGAAACCCAATGAGCGTGTCGGGGGGATGGTGGTTGGTGACTTTTGGCGGCGTTTGGTGGCTCGCTCCTTGTCATTGATTATATTAGGGGTCCCAGATCCATGGGGTTTAGACCTTACCTCAAATTATCTCAAATTATGTTATTTTTGCATCTAATGTGCAAAAAAATGCAAAAATGCAAAAAATACAAAAACATGCAAAAACATGCAAAAAATGTAGACAAATGCAACAAAATGCAAAACAATGCAAAAAAACAAAAAACAAAAACAACACACACAAAAGTGCAAAACAGCATGCAAACACAACAATTATGCAAACAACGTGCACGAAATGCAAAAACAACAAAATCAACAAACTAATGCTACAAACTGCAAGAAATGAAAAAGCAACATCAAAAGAATGTCGGGCATGGCAAGCACTAAAATCATGATGACAACAATGAATCCCATAATTCTACAAAAATGCACGATGAGGCCTCCAAACCCGTTGGTAAAGGTATGTTGTTTGAGAAGGGCCTGGTGTGTGGGTGTGGGTGTTGTCTTTTTGTTGCTCGTTGTTGGTTGTTGGTATGTTAGTGTTTGTTGTTTGTTGTTTGGTGTTTGTTGTTGTTTGTT